TACCCTATAGTGCTCCTTATGATGTCAACATTTCCGGCTAAGTCAGCATCTACATAGCATGTCAGTATCGTATCTCCACCTTTGAAACAAAATGTTTTGTTTGTGGTACTCCGCAGATATCTAAGGATCTATTTGACTGTTTCCCATTATACTTTGCACAGATTATTCATATACCTGCTAACAGCTCCCACTGCTTGAGTAATATCTGGTCTGGTACAAACCATGGCATACATCAGACTTCTAATTGCTGAGGCATACGACACCTTCACCATGTGCTGTTCTTCCTCCGTCGTTGTTGATTGTTATTTGGAGAGTCTAAAATAAACACCTAAAGGTTTACTTACTGGTTTAGCATCTTGCATGTTAAACCTGGAGAGTACTTTGTTAATGTACTCAGCCTGTGATAACATCAAAGTCCCCGACTTTGTGTCTCTCTTAATCCTCATCCCAAGAATCTGCTTTGCAGCGCCCAAATCTTTCATTGCAAATTACTTCGATAATTTTTGCTTCAAGTTTATAATCTCTTGCATGTTTGAGCCTGCAATGAGCATGTCATCAACATACAACAATAAAATAATGAAGCTATTGTCAAACTTCTTGATGTAGCAACAATGATCTGCTTGGCATCTAGTAAAACCACTGCTACCCATGAAACTATCGAACTTCTTGTACCACTGTCTAGGAGATTGTTTTAAACCATACAACCTGTATAGCATGTTTTTCTTGTCTGCCTTTATAAAGCATTTTAACTGTCTCATATAGATTTCTTTCTCCAAATCACCATGAAGAAAAGATGTCTTTACATTTCACTACTCAAGATGTAGATTTTCTGTAGCTACAATTTTCAACACCAGTCTGATTGTAGACAGTTTCACGACTAGAGAGAAATTCTTTTTAGTCAATACCTTGTTTTTGCTGAAAACCTTTGACAACCAATCTTGCTTTGTAGCGTTTACTCCCATCGTACTCTTCTTTGATCCTGTAAATCCATTTATTATGGAGCGCTTTCTTGTCTGGTGGTAATTCAGCTAATTTCCACGTCTGATTTGACATAAACGAGTTCATCTCATCTATCATGGAAGACTCCCACTTGACTGAATCCTCCACCTGCATTGTTTCATCATAGCACTCTAGTTCACCATTGTCAGTCAGCAACAAGTAGTACAAAGAAGGCGAATAACGTTGGGTTGGTTTAGGAATTCTGGAAGAGCGTCTCAGTTCTGGTGTGTCTGGTTCTTCTTGAATTGCTTCAAGATTGATCTGAACATCATTTCCAGAAATCTTCTCAAACTCAGCAAATTCCTTTGTTTCAGCTTCGGTATTGGAGCCAGTTGATTCTATGGTTGACATGTCTTTGTACATCACATTCTCATTGAAAATGAAATCTCTGCTTATGATGAGCTTTAGATTTTCGTAGTCCCAAAACTGATAACTGAACTCACCACCACCATAACCAACAAAGACACATTAATTGGATTTGGCATTAAGTTTACTTCTTTCAGCAGAATTTATGTGTACATAAAAAATACAACCAAACACTCTTAAGTTGAAAGGTTTATTTCTTTCTTGCTCCAAAATTCCTCTGGTATTCCACCATCCAATGGAACTAAGGTCCCACGGTTGATCAGGTAAGCTGCATTATTGATAGCTTCAGCCTATAGCAATTTGGGTAATCCGGCATGTATCCTCATACTTCTGGTATGTCCATTCAGAGTTCTGTTCATGCTCTCTACTACGCCATTCTGATGCGGTGTCATGGGAACTGTTGTCTCCATCTTGATCCCATTGTTTGCGCAAAATTCTCTGAATCTACTATTTCTGTACTCTCCTCTATTATCATACCTCAACCGCTTGACTTTCAAACCAGTCTCATTTTTCACCATGACCTTCCATTTTCTGAAGGTATCAAAGACTTCTGTTTTCTTCTTCAGAAAATAAACCCACACCTTCCTTGTAGAATCATCGATAAAGGTGACATAATATAGTGAGCCTACAAGAGATGGAACTGGAGATGGTCCCCATATATCAGTATGAACAAACTCTAACTTTTCAACCTTGGGTATCTTGCCAATCTTTGCAAAACTGACTTTCTTTTGTTTGCCAAAGATGCAATCCTCACATAGTCCGACATCTATATTCTTTAGATCCGGCAGCTCCCCTTTTGACAAAAGTGTATTCTTCCATTTCTCGCTCATATGGCTAAGCCTTTGGTGCCATAGGTTTGATTTTCCATCAGCATCTGCTACTGCAATGATATTCTCTAAATTTGAGGTTACATAGAGAGTATCAGTCTTCTTACCACGAGCAATGACGAGTTCTCCTTTGGTAATCTTCCATTCACAGCCTGAAAAGGTTGTACTATATCCTTCTCCATCAAGTTGTCCTACATAAATCAAATTTCTTTTAAGGCCAGGAATATGTCTCATTCCTTTCAGCTTACAAGTGGTCTGGTTTGACAACTTTAATCGGATGTCTCATTTTTCGACGATCTTCAAGGTTTCATCATCAGCTAGATGAACCTTCCCAAAATCACCACTGACATAGTTCTCCATGATTTCTTGGCATGGGGTGGAGTGGAAAGATGCCTTGAATCCAAGATCCATGATTCACTGTTAACGCTTAGAATCATGGCATCATATGTCTCCTCTGTCATGTTGGCAAATTATTGTGCGTCGGAATCTTTCTTCGGTGCTCAATAATCTCTTTTAAAGTGACACTTCTTGCCACAATTATAATAGTTAAAAATATTTCTTTCTCGTTCTTGATTTTTCCCTTCTATATTTCGATCTGCCACGATTTGAATTTCTTTCTGAAGTTCTCCCTCTAGACTCCGTGTGTAAGGCTGAGGAGCTTGATGCTTTACTCAATTCTCTCCATTGAATTTCTTCATTCAATACCAGATCTTGAACATCGTCAAATTTCAATTTACTGTTTTCCGACGAGCTGCTGACTGTTTTAACAGTAGCATTCCATTTGTCTGGTAGAGATGATAAGATAATTAAAGCTCAAACTTCATCATCGAATTCAATTTCCACGGAACTCAACTGGGTTGTGATTGTGTTGAGTTTATTTAGGTGTTGAGCCACTGATGCCCCTTCCGCCGTCCGCAAATTGAATAATCGCCTTATCAAGTTAACTTTGTTTGAGTTCGATGGCTTCTCATACATAATGAAGAGAGATGCCATAAGACCCACCGTGATCTTTTCCTTTGCTATGTTGAAAGCAACATTGCGGGATAACGTCAATCGGATAACTCTGAGGGCTTGTCTATCGAGAAGAGCTCAATCTTCATTCTTCATGCCCTCTGGTTGCTTTCTTGAGAGAGGTTAATATATATTTTTCTGATACAGAAAATCTTCAATCTGTATCTTCCAAAAGTCAAAGTTCACACCATCGAACTTCTCAATTTTCACATTTCCTTCGTCTACAGTCATCGCTCCCACTCGAATTTGGCTTCGTTTTGAATCATTTCTGACAATTTCTACGAACCACCGTGTATTAGAATACATTCGTCGACAAACTCGTATCGCCAACCAAATTTCACTATTCACGAAATTCACTATTCATGTGAATAGTAACCTCACAGAAAAAACCGACAAAATTCACCACCAAAAGCTATGATGACAGTTGTTGGGAAATAAACAAGTAATTTTCCTATAACTAAATTAGTGAAAATACGAAATAAAAACGGAAAAATAATACTCGAAATTGATAACGGAGTTCAACCAATTATGCCTACGTCTCCGGACTGCTGCAGATCTTTTACTAAAGAGAGAAAATTTACAGGTGTTTACAAAACACTCACTACTCACAAGAAAGCTCTCTAGTATTAGGAGAAATAAATGATTTGGGATAGTTTTGAAGCTAAATGGGTTAGAGTTTTTATAGTTGAAGCTTAAAGATTAATCTTGTAAATACCCTAAAATTCAGGGACTAAATGCAATTATCCCATTGTCACTTTTCAACAAAAACACAACTAATTTTCGATGCATTATTGCACCACCAAAAATTGCTTTATTTTCAATAATTGTTGGCCAAAATCCCGCCAAAATTGGCTTGCAATTGTTGACTTTTCAACACTAACAACAAACAATAAGGAATTCATCAAGTTAGGAAACTCAACTTCAAATAAGATAGTACCAATGAGGAGCTCAAACAAAGAATTGAAACAAGAAACTTGATCATTTTGAAAAAACTTCTCTAAATAAGAGAGAATTATACCCTAAGATCTTTAAGAGGTACTTCCAGATTAACAGTCTTTTCTATGACATAGTTCTTCAGAAGCAGAAACAGAAGAATATCCTCTTGCTGAGTTCCTCAGAATCAGATGCTTCAGCCTCCTTGTGCTAGCTAGCCATCGAAGGAACCCATATTGCTAATCCAACAGCCCCCTTATATGCCAAATTGACAAATAAGAAAAATTAAGTGGTAAATATTTATACAACGTTAAACTACTAGCAGCAAAAACATGAAATACTAAAAAAATATTGTATTAGAACATAAAACAAAGAAGGCCATAATTTAGACTCCAGTTAAACCACTAACATCAGCGCATAACATGTTTCCGTTCTTAGTTGGTCACAACTGGACAACTAAGTCCAATAAATTTGGCTGTAATTAAACTGGACATTTTACTTTTTATTTTCGCTGAAAATGACTAGGTTGACTATGAAAAAATAGTAATAGGTATATTCATGGTCTCCCCTATTCTCTATACTGCTTATTCCGAAAATATAAAAAAGCAATCGTTGTTCAAGATGGTAAATTTTATCCAAAGTCTATAGAATATTCAAAACCTGTACATTTCTTTTAACTAAGCTCATTCAACAGCTATTACACATGTAAGTAACATAATCTCAACTAAGCTCATTCAACCAACTAAGTAATATTCAATGATTTCTAAGCATGCTTAAAAACCGATTAAAAAACCATTAAAACGTTTAGCCATCACTACAATGTCTCAAAATCAACTCAAATGGTGCATTACGAAATTTAGCACCCAACAATAAATTAAGCCAGCAGCAAAGTAGAAGGATAGAACAAAACTGATCATACTAAAATGCTACAGTATACTTCAACTAGAAGGCATAGTTCCAATAGATCATGCTTCAAAAACACTAGGGGTTAGATCCACATAGAGAAGTGGAGTTCTTACTTGTTTAGATAAACAGTTGGCAAAAGTGTCTCTTCGTTTCTGCTTACCCGTACATTCATAAAACCACAACAAATCATAAACAATTAGGCTGGTTGAGCACATAAAGAATTTGATGGATAAAATTTACAGTCTTAACCTAAATGAACGTTTTTGTAGCTGACAAAATGGATGATGCGTGTTCAGCCAGAGCAAGACCAACTCTCAAGATTGGAACAATATGAGAAACTAAAAGAAAAAGGCCTTAGATACCGATGTAACACAAATTTCTCAATGAAGTACATAGACATCAACTGCAATGTGGGAAATCAAAACAAATAAACTCCAAATACCCTTGGTGGTTTGACTCCTGCAATGAAATTAGATCTGTTTAGACATCTATCATATGGTAGGAAAAATAAAAGAAAAACGAGTATATTACACAGAAATTTAGGAAATGCAAGAACTAACCTTCCCCTATATGCATCCATCTCCCTGAAATTTGTGTGGAAAAGATGATTTAACAGGGTGCTCTTCCCTGTGAATGGAATACAAGACATTTTAGTTGACAAGGCAAACACATTCGTAAGCAATTCATTATAAAAGTTAAAGATACAGGCTGGCATCTTTATAAACCATCAGATTGCCTCAGAAAATATTACAACAGTTGGGATCAACCTAATGGGTTATCAATAAACAAAACTCAAAGAGAACAACTAAAAGATCTTAACAGTTACATATAAAACAAATATTACATTACAAAGATAAATGGTAACTAAACACTGTATTATCATACAATCATTAACCTTTAAAAAATAAATTTTCTGATTAAAAATAAAAGAAAATGACGTGAACTCTCTTTCAAAATCTACTAAGTTTCACAGGCAAGTTCAGTGTTTACATTAGATATTTTGAGGAAAAAATATAATTTTGAATGCACAGGTTCCCTTACAGAGTAACGCACAAAACCCGGATTCAGCAAAACACAGTCAATCAACTTAACTCTATATTCAGTTTCATTTTATCATTAACAGAAGTAATTCATTATAGAAACTCAATCTCGAATAAAATAAGACTGTTGAAATAAAATTATTACAATTTCAACAATTAGTCAATAACTAGTTCTAGAAACTTCAACGAGCTAAAACTAGACATGCTGGAGTCAAAGTACAAAACCAGAATAAGAACGCAATGGGAAAAAAATAAAGATACAGAGTATTATTTCTGCTGTCAAAATAGATTAACCGATGAAGGAAGAAGAGATAAAGAAATAAGGTTACCCATATCTTGAATTAAAGCAAAAAAATGCTTTTGAAATGTGGGTAGTAATTATAGTCTTCAGAAAATTCTTACGAAAGAGATTGGTTCTTAGGCGTGGATACAACGGTGTTGGGTGTAAGCGGTGTGTTAGACCGGAGAAGAATAGCAGATGGGTGGTGCTGTCCAGCAGTGAAGCCCTCAAAACTTGCGAAGCAGCAGATTTCGGCGTAGAGGGAGTGAGATCGGTGAAGAAGCAACAGATGGGTTTGGGTAAACGGCGGAAAGGAAAATAGGTGAAGGTAAAAAATAAAAAAGTACAATAGAGTTTGGGACTAAAGTATCCAAAACTTGCACGAGTCTTTAGCGGTGTTTATTTAAAAATGTCATTATATATGTATCTTATTACGGCGTTTGTTAAAAAATGTCACTAAAGTATGAGTTTGTCGGTGTTTTTTTTTAAACGGCACTAGAGTAGAGTTTTTTACGGTGTTTGTTAAAAACTGCCACTAAAGTATAGTTTGTTGCGACGTTTGTTAAAAAAGTCAAAAGTACAAGTATTTAGCGATGTTTGTTAAAAACGACGTTAATTTTACCATTTTGTGGCATTTTGACGGAAAACTCCACGATATGTATAAGATTAGTGGCGTTTACTTTAAAAACACCGCTATAAATGTCGCTACATATCTATTTTGATGTAGTGGTTAGGACTTAATTTTAATGGTTTTAAAATTTTCAAGGGCTTAAAATACAATTAACCCATAAAAGTTGGGTGGGACCATGCCCCCTTCCGCCCATATAAGTAGGACGAACACAAGATATTATGTTAGAGAATGTAAAATTAAAAACCATATTAAAAATTTAGAGAATATGAAATTATAAAATTGTAGGAGGTGTAGATTTACAAGATAATATTTGTTTTAAAGATTCATAACTATTTGACAATGAAATTTTAAACACCCTTACAATCATTGATGCTCGAACCTAAAATCTTTAAAGAAAACAATCATCTTTTTAACTACTGAGATAATTTGGTTTGTAACACCCTAAATTCGATTGGGCATAAAGTGCCACACTGGGCTGTCGAGGCAACCTTTGATTTTCAAATCATGTTCATTTTCTTTTCAAACATACTGAATGGTATCATAAATACAACATAAATAATTGTTATAAAATCATTTTACAAAACCGGAGCTCCGTGACACATAATTTAAAATAAAATAATACATTTTGAAGATTACAACTCAAATAAATAAGTAATGTCCTATGAATACATATGCCTACTAAAGTTACATTACAGTACTTTGTCGAAGATGCTGGAAGTCCTGTTACGACGGTGCTCCACGAACTGCCCAAGCTACTGACCTGCCATTGGAAAATATTCAAAGGCTGAAATTACAAAGCCTTGCAGTATAATAGCTAATCTAGAGCATTATAACAATTTCATAAACATAAGCATGTTGAAGACATGATACTAAGCAGTAGATGCATTCGTGACCTAAATCAAGTGCTACCTACTTAAGGCTTTACTGCTCTATCACTGAAGTAGGGGTCTCACGTTTCCCTTAATCATCTGCTAAGGACCTCGCCATGAGTACACCTTTAAAGGGTCTCTAACCCTAACGACTTAACATGCTACGCATTATCTAAATGCGACACTGATATTCCTGTGCATTATCTGAATGCAAACCTGACATACTGTGCATTATCTGAATGCAAATTTGACTAGTATCTGGTCTTCCATAGCTCTCATATACTAGTTACTAAGGGAACCCTGTTGTCACATAACATCGACGTAATTCCCACAAACATACTAAATGATCTACTAGCCCTCACATAACCATCAGGTAGATCACTGAGGGGAACCGGTGTCACATAGCATCGATATAATTACCGCACAAACTGAAGCATTGGCTTGGTCTCACATAGCCTTCAAGCCAAGCTTTAACATATCTGACGTACTGAACTGATGAGACTATACATGCATAATTGACACAACAAACATGAGGTAGGTCTGGTGGTGAGGTCAGAGGAATTTATGTGCATCGAAAGCTTACCCATCTGAACTGACATAATTAACCATGCAGATCTAAGGCCCATAGGCCACATAATACTGACATTGCTAACCCACTCCTTGTGAGTGTTCGGGTCTCACACCTTAGTTAGCCCTTGAAGTGCCTTGCACATTGGTAATAACCCACTAGGGCAACTAAGGTTACCTGAGTATATCTTAACATAATTGGACTCACTAAAGTGAAGTTAATGTCATACTAGTTGTTATCTCGCTTGTTTTCTCATCTAGAATGTTAGGCGAAGGCTTACTTATTATCTCAGGAATTGGCTAGCTCAATATCTGGCTCGGGTTTATTTCTGAGTAGCGGTACTCTATTCGATCTTATCGTAATTCCCTTCAGAACTTCTTAAACTGAAAAGGATGGCTTATTTTTCTTAGGTTCACTAACATTCTAGAAGCTCAAACTTTTTGCGACCACTGAATCTAACATAATCATCGTACCGCTTATTGGATGTCTCCTGTAACGATCCTCGGTCCTGTATATTCGTATTCATCCTTGTTCGAAGATACTTTGGCGTATTACGCTTAATATGGTTACTCCTGATATAATCTGCTCTTGTTAGTGTTTCTAGGTATACTTGGTCATTTATGTCCCTCACGGACTAAGTCTTACTATTACGGATCATCTTTAGCTCTTACAGACCTTAAACGGGTCAAATCTGACCATCCAAAGCGAGTAGTATCGATACTCTACTTGTACTATTGATACACTAGGGTCAAGTATCGACATCCCTATGAGTATCAGTACCAAAATGCATTCTGTCAAGAAATTAGGGCCTCAGTATCGATACTGACACCCTGAATATCGATACTCCCTTTAGTAGTATCGATACTCCTAGTCAAAATCCCTAATTTTTGCCTTAATTCATACATTATTGATATTGTTCATCCCAGTATCGATACTTGAACCCTAAAAGGCTTATTTTAGGCTTCCTCGAGGCTTGGATGATGAAAACCCCTCTTTCCTTGTAAAATAAAACCCAAAGCTTGAATCTTCAAAAATGAGTTTGCTAAGGGTTTTATTAGGACGAAAATGAAGTATGAAAGAGCTCAAAATCTTACCTTGCTATGGAACTTGGAGAGGGAAGGAAGAAAGAACAGAAATAAAGAGAAAAGAAATGGGAATGAAACCCACGTCCAAAACATAATAAACCCCCCAAATCAGCTTCCATTTCCCTCAAGTGTCTAATTACACTTCTAATCCTTGGTCTTTTGTCTCACATTTTAAAATTCCCCTTTTGTGGCTAATTGGGCTCAAATCCAACCCAATTAAGCCCAAGAACTTAAATAATGAAATCTACAGGGTCCACTTACCTCTCGGGTAAACCCAAAACTACTAACTTGAAATTTGAGGCGTTACTGTACAAATTTCTTCAAATTTTGAAATTGATATATTGATGTTTTTTCTTGGACCTACTAATTATATGAGATGCTAATCTAATCTTTCATGGATATTTTTTTATGGATATCAAGTTTCCAGAAACCTATTTTCAATGTGTTCGTCATCGTCAGCCTTCTATATCTATTTCCCAATTCCTTTTTTTTTCCTCTTTAAATTTTCATATGTATATTTTCCTCTAATTATTTACTAAATTACTTAATTGTAATTAGAAGTTACTACTAGTTGTTATTATTATAATATTAGCATTATTTATATAAATAAATAAAAAGGAAGAGTTTAAAAGAAGCTTTTAAACCGATCAAAATATAGTTAATCTATTATTATTAATTTTATCTTTTTCATTTTTATACACATATTTGGTCAAAGTAAGATATTAATATATTTTGTATTAATCCAGGCTGATTACAAGTGACAATATATGTTTTAGATACTCTCAATTATTTGACAATAAATGTTTAAATATTCTGATATTTGTTGGTGCTCGAACTTATAGCTTGTAAAGATAATAATTATTCCTTTAATCATAGAGGTAGTTTGATAAGCGCAAATACTAATAGTTTTGTTAATTTACTTATATATATATATATATATATATGTATATATTTATCAGGTTTCATTACCAAAATGTATATGAAATTACAAGATAGTATTTTTACTGGAGGAGGGTATCATAGTCGCCTCTTGTCTTATATTTTCATTATGAATTAAGAAACAAGTTGGGTAGTTGGGTATTTCTCATAATTACATGAAGACACCATGATCAACAAATTACTAACTACACTACGTAAATATATGATGAACCTTGGCTAGCCTATATATTTCAAATATATATAAGTTAACTGTACAAATGCTCCTCACATGGGGTTTGCTAATACTTTAGGTCAATCTTTGAACTAAGTGTAGGGTATCTCTATTTTCTATGGCATCATTTTTCAACATCATTCATGGCGAGGAAATATTTTTATTCATTAAAATTTCTTT